GAAAAATGATCCATGGATAGAAATATTGAAAAAGATAATTCGTTTAAAGTGCACTTGTTTTTATCTTATATTAAAATAAAAGCAAAATGTTTTAATTTCTAATATTTAATAATTGAATGAGATTAAGAAAGATTTTCTACCTTAGTCCTCTCATGAACTTTGTCGTCATCATCATCATCGTCGTCGTCTTCATTATTATCACTATCAATATTTCGAATATCCTCTGAAGGTCGATTGATTGTGTTACGATGTTGTTGATAAGTATGATGAACAGATGTATTATGAATACTGGTTATACTCAAATGTTTGAGTGTTGAACTCGAAAGTCGCTTTGCATGTAGCCTCGTGGCAATCATTGCAATGGGCGACGGTAATCATACTTCTATTCCTGTTCTACTGTTATATATATATATATATATATATGTTGAGTCTCTAGCTCACAAGTTGTTGTTTTCGGCACGAATAGGGACGTTGTCGTACTACACCCAATGATTATTCTGTTGAGACAACGACCAAGACACCGCAAAAATGAAGAAAACGCAGGGAAGAAGAAGAAGAAGAGGGAGAGATAGAGAGACGAAAAAGGATAAAAGATAGGAGGGAAACAACATTGAGTCGTCCTCCACGGTGACGGCCGTCGGATAAGATGATGATATATCAAACTTGTAGACAGATGCATACTCAATTGGATTCTTCTGTCGTTTTGGTTTGAAGTCAAAATGAGAAATTCCTGCCACACTGACTATACAAATAATCTGATTTTACAATCAAGACATCGATCAGTAGAAATGCTCCTATTGCTGTAGGAGTTTTTATATAAACATTTGTTTCCTTTTTTTGTCTCGTTTTCTTGATTTAACTGTCATACTCGTTACTGTCGAAAGTGACAAGAAATATCATATACATATCGATAGACACACATGCACGCGCACGCAATACCATAGACCTTATTATAGTCAATAGAACTTAAGACAAGTTCTTAAAAAAGTAATTAACGATGATTGGATAACCTATATAATTTGCTATATTTAGCATTTTTATTTTTGATTATTTAATGTCAATGTTTCTTTTTCCTGTTCTCTATTTGTTCTTAAAACAACAGGAAAAAAGAAACAATTCATATGAATAAGTAATCAGTATTGCGGTGGGCCATAGGCCATTGATTATATTTGATCTAGTGCAAGAAAAAGAAAATGATTGAGATAAGCATTGACGCATAGAGATCAGCTGTATAGAAAGCATTAAAAAGCATATATAAAAAGAAAAAAAGAAACATATTTTACGAGTAATTCTGTCATGGATAACGCAATAAGATAAGTATATTTTTCGCCTGATGGAGCGAGTATGAGAACCACCAACGATACGCCAAAGAAAAGTCAGTGTAGAGACATAAATATAAATATCAAACGACCGACGGCAACGATTTGTCATTATGAATAATCAAGTAATATAATTCACTGTCATACATGAAATTTCAACAAAGCAATCATTCGATACTTACGTAAATTTGATCCTTTTTTTTCCTTATTTTTGTTTTATCAATTAAGATGAATATATGATCTATTGTTAATTCTAGGTATTTCTTTTTTCTTTTGTTAATTATTTAATAATAATATGTTCTGATAATATGTATATTTTAAAATAAAACCAACTTTTATTTATATTCAAGACGATAAACAGTAGGAAATCAACGAGATTACTTAAGCAAATGCAATAATGATATTCTGGATTGACGGGAATTCATTTCCGTTATATTTTAACCATACCTTTTCCGTCAGATGGAATACATGAAATACATGCAATTATAAGGAAGGATATAATAATAATAATAATAATAAAGGCAGAAGAAAGTCATTAAGACAACATACACGAACTCAATTGATAATTTTTTTCTTTTTTCCCTCCCTAAAGAAGTATCTGACATGATTGATAGTGTTCGGCAATCAAAGACATAATCCTTAACATTCACTTCATCTATACTGATACAAAACACTGCAGTTACTATTAAACCAATTAATTGATTGTTAGAAATATTTATACTCTTACTTTTTTCTGATGTTGTCGTTTAGCACGATGATGACCGAGCAGCATGACGTTATTTATATGTAATGATACTCATTATATTCAAACTTAGACGAATCGATTTGTAACACGATATTTATGTATATATAAAAAGTAACTTCTTGCTGTTGTTATTATTATTGTTGTTGTTGAGCAAGTAATGTTTCTTCTCGATTTTCAATAATGATCATTCCATTATTCGGTTAGTGTCTGTTGTCTTTTTCTTCTCGGTTTTTTCTTCTTCTTTTTTGTTCCCAATTTACTTAGTAATGATTTTTCATGCGTTCGCTCGTTCAATCGTTGTCGTTGTTAAATAGCCATTTGAACTATATATATTTATATTTGTGTCGTATTGAGCTTCTCAATAAGTAAGTGCTTCGGGAAGAAAGGACAAGGCAAAGATTTAATAAAATTAGCAATAATGGATGAAAGAGAATAAATCGGTTATTTAGTTTAAGAAAAAAAAAATAATAAAGTTGTATGTATTTATATATATATATATCGAGAAGGAGAGAAGGACAACGAAAGAAATATTCGTGCACTATATAATAGAATAAATACGTGAATGCCAATTGTGCGTAGAAGTTTTGTTGCTCTTCGAAATTATACAACAATCCCACATGCAAATTCTTAGTTAGTAACCTACTGTTACTAAATAAGAGAATAAAAGTACAAGGAATGGAATGTCATTGTGGTTAGAATAATATGATCTATGTTGAAATTGAATAGGCAAGTTGAGAAAATAAATGTGCTCGTTTATTGAGCAATTCAATCGACTATGATGACAAGAACGACTACAATGGATCATCTTATCAATGAAATAACATACAATAATAATAGTAGAAATATGTTTTTTTTTGTTCTCAACTCTACAGTAGTTTATCATAAAATGACGTCAAGTAAATGAGAAAAGACACAGAGAATAATAGAAACAGTCAAAAATAAATAGAAATAAATATTGATAAATAACTTGCATGTTACAACACACTGCAATTCATTTTGTTTCCTATATATGTCCGGTTATATAATTAATTGATAAAATAACGTATATAAATGTATTTACATTAAAACAGCACAAAAAAAAGTAATTCAAAACATGAATATCTATTCAAAATAAATGTATTCCATTCAATAATAAAACAAAAGAAAATAAAACGATAAATATTTTCTTCTTGGCTTTTTTTATTCTATAGATATAGTATGTTATTGAAAAAAAAGAAAAAAAACATAGAAACTTTCTTTTTCCGTTATTAAGATTATTCTAACACAATTAGGATGCCCTTCAGTTGTCAATAACAAATACATAAATATGAACATCTATCGAAATAATAATTCAATTTTCTAGTTTTATGAAGACATTCTTAAACATAAGTGATAAACATAATGTTATCATATTGAATAATTCATCAATACAAAGATACTCTTAACTAATTAGTATTTACTAATAACGATAACAAATATTTCTATCGTTTATTAATTTAAATTTTAAGTGTAATTAATACGTTATATTTCAAAAAAAGAGAATATAGTTTATTCAAGTATTTATAAAGGTATTTGATAAGGAACAATGACCAACACATACAAGTTTTCGTATTCTTCTTTGTAAATTGATAAAATAACATTTACCATTTTTATGTACAAAAAAAAAAGAATTTCAATCAATCAAAATTTTCTAATACGTTGTTTCAACTATTACCATATAAGGGTATCCCCCTCTCTTTTTGGACGGTTTCTGGTTCTCGAAGACGGTACGACCGATCACGCTGAAATTTTTACCACAGACAGAGCACAAGAAATAATGAGACACGTGTTCGAGGAAAAAAGTTTGAACCACATGTTTTTAGGGTTTTTTGAAAAACCTCGATTTTCCATAGGGCTGCATTGTAGTCCATTACGACCCGCCTGAAATTTTATCCGATTGAGCTGAAATTTTCATCATTGATGCTTGGAAGTATTCTCCAGAGGTATAATCGAGCGTTTTCGTTTCTGTCTTTCCAAACCGGAATTATAGGTCCCGAAGTCCAGAATCCAGATCTTGCCGCGGGATCTTGGAGTATTTCTCTTATAAAAAAAAAAAAAGTGAAATTTTTTGAAAATCTTAATTATACCGCTGAGAAATAGTCGTAGATATCTTAGAAAAAAATTTCAGCTCAATTGGATAAAATTTCAGGGGG